AGTGCAAAAAACACGCTCATTTTACAACTTGTTACATAAATAGCTACATCTTCATTTAAAATCGACGCAAAAATCAAATAACGAGCCTGAATCGCAAGCATTTCATCGAGGTCTGCGGGTGACGTCACCACTATTAGCTGCTGATATGGTGACGTCACTCGCAGACCTTGTGGACTTGAGAACCGGAGAACGTACGCCTTCTCAGGATGAGCAATCCTGTTAGTTTACGTCTAGATTCTTGGGTTTTAATATATAAAAATGTCAAAAATTCCAACAAAATCCAAATCTTTCATTGCACAAACTAGCATCTGCAAAAAACTTTTTTTCTGGCCATTGAAAAATAAACAACTTTCGTCATATTTCACCTTAGCTGAAAACGTCACTTTCGTTACTAGTGATAAAATATCTAGTGACGAAAGTGAATGATTAGGATTTTACGTGTTAAAAACATTCTTTCAAATCCAATTATAATATAGAATGATATAATGTAATAAAAGCAAAATAATAGAAATAAAATAATTAAAAACGAGAACTTTTTATCAGGGACCCGGACCGGAACGATATTGGACCGAAAACCGGAACGAAACCGTTTTTTTTTTGCGGACCGGAACCGGAACGAAACCCATATTCCATAGAAATGTTGTAGGAAAGGCAGAACCGGAACCGATATAAATTAATCGGTTCTTACCGGTATTTTTCGGTTCCAAGATTTTATAAATTAAGCTGTTTGCTGTTTGGTTCTATCATATTAAAATTCACACTTTGAAAAACAGAGCGTTGGACATTGGACAGTGCGCATTTCTGAATTCGGCTAGGCTACACGGCTACACCAACACCAAGGATTTTACATACTACTACAGGATTGTTTGGAGTCAAATTCATATGGTGTTGCACCGTTGCTGACGTCATCAACGGTCTCGTAAGCGCTTTGCGTTCGTATTTAAGAAAATACATGTATGATGAAAACTATAAATTAAATTTGATTAACATAATAGTCAATAGACAAGAGGAAGATGCAAATGAGATCTAAACAAGGGTTGTTTTAGGATATTAAATAATGTACTATGGTTCTAAACCGTTTCGAAATACAATCCAATCCACGTTTTAAAACCATTTCCTCGTGCCGAGAAATTATGACGTCATTGTGAAACTGATTTAAACCAGTTCTGGAAAATGTTTCAAAACTTTGAGATGCGGGAAAACACCTCCTAATCCGTGGTGCAACTGGTGCAAGCACTACGTCAAGGCGAGAAACGACACGCTGTTACGTCATCACTGATCGAAAACACAAAAATTTATTTTTTAATAGTAATTATTATAATTATTAAAGTTGTTTCAGATACGCAGAGAAATTCAAAAAAAATAAACCACAAATTATAGAAACATAAGTTTTTCTGTAATGACCGTTTTAAGGGATGCTTCTTGAAATGGTCAGTGCTGCAAATGGCCATTAGATATTCGTGAAAAACTATACCGGTATGAACCGTTAAAACCGAAATTATTGGTCCGAACCGAATCGAAATATATCTCTTAGAACCGAAACCGTAACGGAACCGATATTCGTCATGACGCTGTGGACCGGAACCGATATTTCATTCCGGTCCGGGTCCCTGCTTTTTATAGATGGTGTCTTGATTCATCCAGGTTTTCAAGCGCCATCTATTAAACGAAGTAGGAACCCTTGTGAAAAAACATTTCATTAGTTTAACGGCAAAAACCATAACATAATGGTCATAGAAAAAGTATTTTTTTTATTTCTAGGGTATAAATAATGATGTTTTCTGTTGTTTTGTCGTGAAGCGTTTATTTGTTATCTAATAAAGGAGAATTTTTTTTTTGTGTCATTTTTTGGTGGCTATTTCCGAGCAAATTATTCCCATGTCTCCATAAGCGCGAAATTCGCGTTTTATTTAACAGGTTAAGGTTACCTATGTGTTGTTGTTTGTAATCAATTTGAATTCGATTTAAATGCTTTGAATTTCAAACACTAATCTTTGAAAACCATGAAAGTGATTACTAAAAAACAAAAAAAGATATGTGTCTTGGTGTTGTCTTAATTACATTTAAGGCCCTATTATAATCTTCCTCATCGACCAGCAAGCTGTAATTTATGTCTGTTTTCGGGTCTACAATATTCAATTCTTTGGCAGTATCCATTCTTTATTAGGTATCTACAAGTACAAAACACATCAACGACTCACAGAGGACAGAGCACAGAACAGAGCACATACCGACAAAAACATAAACAAAACTAAACTGAAAGTAACACCACATAACCTCATTTTTTTTTGGCGAAATTTCGCGGAAAGTTAAAAAATAGTTAACTTTTTTGCGACGCCGCAAGAAGTTAAAAAATTCGCGAATTTTTCCCGCCATAAAAAAATCAAATGTTAAATGTCAAATTCCAACCAATCGGAAAATATCCGCAAAAAAAAATTCGCGATTTCGCGTCCATGGAGACTAGGCTTTAGAAGTGTTTAATTTTACACTATTATCATTAGAAAAATCTTGAAACATATACCTACCTATGAAATATAAAAAAATAAGCTGAAACAATTGAGAAATAGAGAGAAAATTTGAGAGGAACTGGTAAACAATGACAAATAAATAGTAGGTATTTTGACTATTTTGTTTCTATGCCAAGTTCTTGAATTTTCTTTAAATTAGGCAATCTACTGACCTGTCAAAAACGAAATTCAATATGGAAGTTCGGGTCAAGCACTGTGTTGTTTATTCTGTATGTCATTGATTCTGTCACATTTTGGACAAACGTCCAGATTTGAATTATAGGATTTTGTATTTTTTAGTGTGTTTAGGTATTGTGCTAATTAAAATGCCAGCGATTTGCATCATAATTGGGTGTGGAAGTCGAGGTAACAGGAAAAATGTGAAATTTTATTCAGTTCCTGCTATTTTAAATCATTGGCAACGCAGGGTTTTATGGATTGCTGCAATTAAAAGAAAGGATCTAACACAGGCTCGATTTTCCCCTAATAATAATACCTTAAAATATTCACTCTTCATCTCAGAATTTATTAATAAATTAAAAAATACGTAGAAACACTATGAACACTATAAATATCACTTTGAAAACAACAATAGGGTCAAAACACTAAAATACTTTGAAATACTAAAGACTATAAAATTCACTATGGAAACAACAATGACCAAAACCAATAAAAAATACGTAGAAACACCAAAGACTATAAAATTCACTTCGAAAGCAACAAGGGCCTGAACACAAATGTGCACAAATGCTCTCCTTATGAACGTCACCGGCTTGTCACCCTTGTCACGGCAATATTTGACCCGAACGGCCATTATAAAATCACGTGATTGAGATTGCCTAATTGGAAGATAAGTCTACTTTCATACCTATGCTTTCTATCCCAGGCTCTTGAATGTTTTTATTTCAACAAATTCAAGACTCAGGAATAGACAAAAATTGAGCTGAAAAAATTTGGTATTTTGAAGAAAATGGAAATTCAAGAGCCGGCAGGCCTATTCTCTACGAACAGCAATCACATATAGCAACCAGCAACCGGTCGCAAGTTGCTTTTTTTGAATAGAAAACTCGCGTTTGCGCAATCCTCTGCGGTCGCAAGTTACAGAATAAGGCTGCGGGAATAGATAAAAATTGAGACGGTAAAATTGAGATTGAGAAGGTAAAATTGAGTAGGTATAGGAGGAGAAATGTAAGAAAAATTGAGAAAAAAATGATGGATAAGAGAACGTTCATGTTTTTTCTATTCCAGGCTCTTGAATTTTCTTAATGTTGACAAATTCAAGAGCCGGGAATAAACAAAAATTCAGAGGGAAAAATTGTGAAATAAGGGAAAGAAATATTATTTGAAAAAATTGGTAGATATAAAATATACAAGAGTCAGAAATAGACAAAAATTGAACTGGAAAAATTGAGAAATATAGAGAGAAGAAATTCTAGACACAAAGTTTAGTTTCCATTCCAAGCTTCTGAATTTTTACAATTTAGAAAAATTTAGAAAATTCAAGAGCCGGGAATAGATAAAAATTGAGACAGTAAAATTGACATATAGAGGAAAAATGTAAGAAAAATTGAGAAAAAAATTGGTAGATAATTGGACATTCATGTTTTTTCTGTTCCAAGCTCTTGAATTTTCTTTATTTCGACAACTTCAAGAGCCGGCAATAGACAAAAACTGAGTTAGAAAAATTGAGAAATAGAGGAAAGAAATATAGGAAAAATGGAGAAAAAATTGGTAGATAAGTGAACATTCATATTTGCTCTATCCCACCAGGCTCTTGAAGTTTTTTTTTCAAGACATTCAAGAGCCGGGAATAGGCAAAAATTGAGCGGGAAAATCGAGTGGTGAGTGTGAGACCAGTGAGACGCCTTAGCTGTTCAAAAATGCTAGACGGTGCTATGGGCCCAATGGCCAATTGTCAATTCAGGCACACCCATAAAATCGCACTTGCACCCTGTGCGTTTAGAAATAGCACTCTTGGTGTTAGAGTAAGACTCTAGAGTAACTCCCGTTCATAAATTAACCAGTGCTTACTCGGAGCGAGCGTTACGCTCGAATCGTTCAGAAATCGGGAGCTATTTTGATTATGATTATTATTATTCTTGATATTCACCGCAACGCCCTAATATGTTCAGAAATAGTGCACCCAGAGTATACTCCAAGTAATGACGTCAGAACACTCTGACAAACAACTAAACTCTACCTTCACACTCACACTCCATTTCTTCGTTTTCAGTCATACATTATATTTCATAAGAAATATCATAGAAATATTAAATATCTAAATTATGAAAAGAACGGGCACTGCGAGCAGTGGACATATGCAAGTTTCTATTTCTCAATCCAGGCAGTCTAAAAAAAAATCAGAAATATCGTATCGATATTTTCTGATATACATATCGATATGAAAAAGAATAGACGGTCGAAGAAAAGACGAGTATATTGTATCGATAAACTTGGTATCCATATCAAAGTATCCATACCTATTAATATCGATAAACCCTAAGGATAAACCCGTGTCTAATTTATTTTGTGAGGTTATGAAATGAAATCAGGAAAAGGAATGTTTTCTTGATTTTAAAAATAAAAATTATTTGAATTTTAGTAGTATTTGATATCATTTTATATAGATTATAGTCCTGTTACAAAAATGACTTCAAAAGAAATTCAAGGATTTAAAGGTAAGTAAACCCTATGTCAACTACCAACAATTTATCCTAAACTTCCTCCTTTCAAGTTGTTTCAGTGGTTTTTTCAAGTAAAAGCACCACTTTCCATGAACTATTCATTAAAGAACATTCATTAAGGCACCAAGAAGACAACAAACCCCCTGGCAGGACATTATTTGTCCTCAATATCCCTCCTTATGTTACTGAAGAAAATTTGAAAAATCTGTTCTCACCGTGTGGAAAAGTTCTAAACGTGATTCTACAAAACAAAAATCAGTTTAACAATGCCTACGTGATATTTTCCCAGCGTGAACATCTTTTGAAAGCTGTTAAAGTAACAAATTTATGTTTAAATGATTTGAAATCTGGCTTAGAAAAATGGATTGACGAATATAATAATTCAATAGAAGACCCTACAAAACTCTCGAACGAGATCAACAATTTCATGTTGAGATTTGACAAAAATGAAGAGGCAGGTAAAAAAAAAGTTGAAGAAATTGATGATGAAGGTTGGACAGTGGTTACTAAGAAAAGTCGTAATCCTGGCATTGCAAATAAGGAAAGTGTAAAAATTAAAATAAATGAAAAAATTTCGCAAGCTAGTAAGAAAAAGGAGCTGCAGAACTTTTATACATTTCAAATTAAGCAGAGCAAACAGAAAAATTTGACTATGTTAAGGAAAAATTATGAAGAAGCTAAGAAGAAGGTCACTTTAATGAAGAGCAGTAGGAGATTTAAACCTTATTAGGATTTAGACTTTACTCAATAAATTTATTAAAACAAAAACAGCTTTTCAATTGGATTCATTTTATTTTATTATTTGGAAGATCAGTTTAAAATTGAAACATTATAATAACTGTTTATTCAACATTAAATTTCTTTTTCAATCACAATTAAATAATAAATTTCAATAAACAAAATTGTAGCACTGAATAATTCTAACAACAAGGTTGACAAGACTATTATATCACTTGAGATCAGAGTTAAACTTTGAAATTACTTAAAAGTTGACAATTAAAAATATATAATACTTGATGTACTCGAGTGAAAATTTGTTGAAATAATTCAATAATATGTTAACTCAATTTAAATGTATAAAAAAAATAAATTAAAAAACATTTTGTACACTGTAATCTAGGAACATATTATGACCCCCTTCAGAAATACTTTGTAGATTTGTAATGTTTTAATTCAAAATTCAGAGAAGGAATCATTTTTCCATAGTTATTCTTAACAATAATGCTACATTTTAGGGTACTTAACTACATCACAATTTAAAACTACTACATCTGCGTGTTTTTGTTGATAAAAAATATACTTATTTCTACAAAGTTAACTAGTTACTAAAACAGCAATGTGCTTATTTTATTTATTTACAATAATTATCTACAGTTCAAACAACTAATAGAAATCAAAAAAAAAAAGTTGAAATTTATGTTTGTGTAGTCATCACAGTAGTGGGTTTCTCTTTTTCGTTCTCGTTTTTTTCTGGATCTTCAGATTTATTTAGTGATTCCGGTTGATCCCAAGGCTGTCTTTGCCCAGAACTGAACAGAACGTAAAACGTACAACATGCAGCATAAACTGCAGCTGCTGTAATGAAGACTTTCCTCCATTTGTTAATACTGGGCTGCAATAAGAATAATTTCATTAATGGACTACAATTATTATGCAATATCTTACTGTTCCTTTAACCATGTATCCAGCATAAATAGGAGCCAGTAAACCAGCAAGGTTAGCCAAACAATTGGTGAAAGACATCAAAATTCCTGCAAATTGTGGGCTAATATCCAAATGGTTGACTTTGAATCCTGAGTATATGCCACCGTTAAGACCCACTCCGATGGTAAGTATAGCTACAGTTAACCATCTGTCGCAACCAGTGAAAGCTGCTATGAAAAGGGCGATACCTGGTCCATACTGTCCTAAGATAAAAAAAAATAATTTATTATTTTTACATATTTCAGTCTTTTTGATTTTAAAGCCAAACATTAGGTCTGTTTCTGCAGAAATCACAAACCAGTCAGAGCGAATTTCATTGGTTGAAAACAGTCGGAAACAGTCAGAAAACTAATTTCAACCAATGAAATTCACTTTGACTGGCCTGTGATTTCTGCAGAAACAGACCTATAATTAACTTTCAATAGGCCAGTTTTAATGAAGTTGAGTGAAGTTTGTTATCAATGGTTTTCAACAAAAGTTAACTTTATGAGTAGGTAGGTCAATTTTAACTTACCAATGCTGTTTATGATTTTTCTTACGATGGTGATGGTGAAGCATGGTTTAGTTAGCAAGAAATCGGCCACGTGACTGATGAAAATTGAGAAAATCCACATGGCTAAGTAGGGAAGGGCAGATAAAAATCCATTCTGAAATAAGGATATTATATTTTAATGCTTGGTGTTTACGTAAAAGCATAGCACTCTAGGTAACTGGTAATTTTTTCTTGAATGCATCTTCCAGAAAAAAAATTGTGAAGTTAAACGGCCCCTAGGAGCTCAATGGAAAATACTTTTATGGCAGCAGGAAGCTCGCCAAGTTTAATTAATTTTGGTGCATAAATAGCGTTGATAGCACTTTTTACCTAAATTTGTGAAGAGTAAACGGCCCCTATAGGGTCTTAATGGAAAACACTCATATGGCAGCAAAAGGCCCCTTCGAAAACGATTAATGTTAATTCAAAATCCCAAGGTAATACAAAATCAAAACGGGCAAAAGGGCACTATAGGTATTTAAAAATTGAGATTATGGCGTGAACGTACATATAGAATATTAATTTATGACTGTTTTCATACATTTCGTAATGGTAGATTAATCGAAAGAGCGGGTCAAAATTTTTGAGCAATTGAGCCTCAAAGTTGACTTTTAGTCCAAATTTTGTCAAAAACTTCAAACTCAATTTGCTCAAAAACGACAAAAACTATAAATCTGGAAATATTGTAAATTACAGGTCATTTAGAACTTAATATAAGCTACAAAATTTTTTAATGCAGTTTGCTCAACTGTTACCTAGCAATTGAGATATGAATATTTTGAAATCAGAATTCAAAGGGGGTACCCTCATGAAAAATTCGACTTTTTTATTTTCTAGTTTTGCTCAATTTTGACTTTATGAATCGATAGAGCGGGTCAAAATTAGTGGAAACCAACCCTGATATCAATTCCAAATGGCCATTTTTAGCAGACACAAAAATAAAAAATAAAAATCCTATTTTTGGCTCTGATGGGAAATTTTCAAAATCCTGATATGGTCATGAACAATTGCCCATACCTTTGGTAAATTTTGAGGAAATTGAAAGAAATTATATACCATTGGAAAGAGTATTAAATTCTCTAGAAATCCGTGTAAAATTGAGTTTATTAGCTCAAAAAGTTTTTGAGCAATTGAGCCTCCAAGTTGCCTTTCAGTGCAAATTTTGTCAAAAACTTTAAATTCAATTTGCTCAAAATTTATAACTCTGGGAATATTTCAAATCACAGGCCATTTAGAGCCTAATAAGAGCTACAAATGCTATAAGTTTTAGTGCAATTTGCTCAACGGTTACTGTTACTGAGCAGAATTCAAAAGTATAAATACATAAAAGGGTTTATTGTATTGTACAATTGGCGAGAGAGAAAGGGAGCTACGGAGAAAAGTGAGATGGAAGCGTACTGGTGCAGCGGGAGAGCGGATTCTTGCACATAGGTACTATTAGGTACCTATCCTAGACCATATATTTTAGATACATGAAGCAAACTTTTTGCAAGAATAAAAATGTTTGATTTGAGCCTTCATTTTGGAGATAAGTAATGCGAGGTAAAGTGGGGTATTCAGGGGTGGGGGGGCAAAGGGGGCAATTGCCCTCCCAGAGCAACAACCTTTTATTTCTTAAAAATATCTCAAATAATTAAACATAAATTTAGAAAAGTTACATAAAATATGTATTTACAATTTATCAATTTAGGTATACCTATCATAGAAATAATATTTCTGTCGTGTTTCCGAAATAAGTTCCAGTTGTAGGTATGTTTTTATTTCGAATTTGCCAATAATATATTAAAAAAGAGAAGGAGTTGGATGTACACCAATGCATTGAAAGGAAAGTGTGTGTGTAATGGTGGTAAAAAAATTTTGTTTAGGAAATTATGAAATTAACCAAGCGCTTTCAACCTATTTAAGGGACATCATCAAAGTCAGTCTCGTCAAAAATAGTATATTGTGTATTTAGGTGGAAAAATGACACATTATCGACCGACGGTGTAAGTTGACGGGCGAGGCGTAGCCGAGGCCGGCAAACACCGAAGGCCGAGAATGCGCTTTTCCACCGAAATACACATACTATTTTTTCTGCGATCAGTTAAATACCTGTTAAATGTTTGTCTTTTAGTTCCAATTATTCAGCAATACGAGAATCACTTTCCCGGCCTAGGCCGGAAAAGGGTTTCCTGTATTGTTATTCATTGATTCCTTAGCAACTATTGAAACATAATTGAAATACCAGAATATTGAGTTTTGCGACCTGTCAACCGGTCAAAAATGTTGACATTTCTTGTCAATCGCAGAAAATAGTTTTTTAAGATTGATCTCATGCCTCAAAACCCAAGAAGAGTAACAAATAAACAGGTAACAAGATACAAAAACGGTCAACAAAATCACATGAAAAGTGATCATCACAATAAATAAATTAAAATAATAGTATATTGTGTATTTAGGTGGAAAACTGACACATTCTCGGCCGACGGTGTAAGTTGACAGGCGAGGCGTAGCCGAGGCCGGCAAACACCGAAGGCCGAGAATGTGCTTTTCCACCGAAATACACATACTTACTATTTTTTCTGCGATAGATTGAATATCTGTTAAATGTTTGTCTTTTTGTTCTAATTTTTCAGCAGTACGAGAATCACTTTCCCGGCCTAGGCCGGAAAAGTGATTCTGGTATTGTTATTCATTGATTCCTTAGCAACTATTGAAACATAATTAAAATACCAGAATATTGGATTTTGCGACCTGTCAACCGGTCAAAAATGCTGAAATTTTTTGTCAATCGCAGAAAAATTAAATAATGGCCGTTTTCCACTAACTATTTTAACGACAAGTATTCCTTAAACTGACATTTCTCCATGTAAAAATGTCATTTTAGGAAATACTTATATCTTTAGGGCTCCCCAAAAATAGTTGGTGGAAATTGCCATAAATTAGTTAAAATTATGACAAACAATGTAAATAAAGTGTGTTTTTTTTTTTCAAGATAATTCCCCAAGTCAAAAATTTAGTGACTATGTTGGCAATACAAGCTTTTTCTACATAAAAAATTTGGAAGCATTGACAATTTTACATTGTATTATTGCCAACATAATGTCATTTTGACTTTTATCTTAAAAAAAAACACACTTTACATGTATTCACATTGTTTATTGTTATGTAATTTTGTTGACCGTTTTTGTATCTTGTTACCTGTTCATTTGTGCTCAACTGGTTCTTGAGTTTTGAAGCATGAGATTATCTATACTTTTTAAAAAACGTTTTTTGACGAGACTGACCCTGATGATGGCCCTTAAATAGGCCGAAATCGCTTGGTCAATTTTATAATTTCTTAAATAAAATTTTTTTACACCATTACAGACACTTTCCTTTGAATAATATATTACACCAATTATTTATATTTTAGTTATTCCAGAGTGGATTTTTGAAGTGAAACTTCTTTACGCACACTAGCGTAAGTTCGTTTAATGCAAGTTGCTATGTAACGGAAATATGCAACGCTATTTAAAAATATTTTTTTTTCCTATAGAAGTATTGAGAGAAGCCCGCGAATACGTTATTAAGATGTGTGGTTTGAACGACTTTTGGGCGTGGCACCTCAAAAATAAATTCTGATCCGCCCTCACCTCAGGCTGGATACGCCACTGGCGATGTGATTGATGTGAATGCAAAAATTAATATATTTCAATTAGATTTTGCTCAGGTTTGAACGGAGATTTTCAATTTTTAGATTTAATTTACCGTAAGGGTCAATGTATTCGGCTTATTTCAAACAATAATAAAAAATATAATTTGTACAAAAATATAGATAAATTTTATATCAGAACAGTCATAAATTACTATTCTCTACGTTCATGCAATAATTTCAAATTTTGAATGTACTGCCCTTTTGCCCGTTCTGATTTTGTATTACCTTGGGATTTTGAATTAACATAATAAAATCTTCATTCTGTGCAAGTTTCAGCTTGTAACCCCGACGCGCCCACAAAACTCATTTTTAGAAGGCTTTAACTGCGTTGGGCACTCTACTATTAATATTATTCATTTTAACCCTTTCAATTTTTGTCCATTCCAGGCGCTAGCTGTGGCGCTAGTCTCTCTAAAATAATTCTGAGGTTTTTTAATTGTTCTGAAGCCTCTCAAAATGCTGCTGGAAAGTGTTTTGGAACGTTCTAAATGGCTTATTGAAGTTCTTAAGTGTTCTAACTTGACTTGAAGAGTTCTGAGGCATTCTAGAAGTTTTTCAGTACCTAATTTCTAAATTGTTCTGATAAATTTTTAAGTATTTTAGAGTCCGATTGAAGTATTCTAAATTGGTTCAAAAGAGTTCTAAAAGGTATCCAGTTCTAAATTGAATACTGGTAATTGTTCTAAAATAACTCTGAAGTTTCTCAATTCTTCAAAAATGCTCCTGAAAATCCTGATTAGATTTCAACAGTTTTGGATTCTTACTAAAGATCTAAAAGTTCTACAGCAGTCTAAATTCGCTCTTGAAAGCCTTCTGAAAGAAAGGCGTTTTGTAACTTTTAACCTGAATCCTAAGATTCTGGCGCTTTTCAAAATATTTCTGAAGATTCTAAAGTGTTTGTGTGTTTTGGAGGATTGATTTCAAACTTCTGAACTGTTCTAAAACGCTTTTGGAAATTATAAATCGTTTTTCAAAACGTTCTGGAGTGTTACAGAGTGCTTTTGGAAATTGTGAATTGAATTTTAAGTTTTGAACTTTCTAAAAGGCTTATTAAAGTTCTAAAGTGTTCTGTAGCATTCTAAATGGTTTCCAGTAACTTTTAAATTAAATGATAAACGAATCACTTATGTGGGAAATTTTTGTATACCTACATCTTAAAAACGTCTCTAAGATGTCCACACATGACATCCAAGATGTCTTGCTCACATCTTTAAGGACTTTAAGGCGTCTTAAATACATCTTGAAGACGTCGTATGTTACAAAACCCAACGTCTTACAGACGTCTGCCTGAAGACGTCTTTAAGACATTCTAAACACGTCTTCAACGAGATGTCTCGAAGACGTCTTTGAATCTCTTTAAAATACATAAACCATTATTACTTTTAGGCCTGGTTGTACCAAATACATAATTGTCTTAAAAATATGAATTTACAATATCTTATGGACATAAATATATCTTCAAAACAACGTCTTCTAGACGTCTTTCTTTGGTTTTCAGACGATCAGATGTACTGTAGACCTAAAAAAGACGTCTTTAAGACTGTCTACCTTGGTCAGCAAATTATGCATGACCCAAATTTTTGAAAAACGTTTAATTTTGGGCCAATAAACAAAAGAGGCAGGGCAGGGAAGTTTTTCGGTCTTCTAACGACATTTTTGCAAAATGCCTAATTTTCGAACCCACAATTGGGGGGTAAATTGTATTTATCGTTTGTAAATAAATTGTATTTATTGTTCAGGCTGACAAAAGTTGTATGTATATTGAAATTTAAATTATGAAATAAATGTCTTATAATAATATTAATGTCATTTAAGAAGATACGTTTAATTAAATCATATACCTAAGTGTGTGTTTCAAAGGTGACATACAAAATGCAAAAAAGAAAACATAAATCTACACTAAAAATACATATGTGTCGATTGACAAACAGCAATAAACATTTCCCAGTAAGAAAGCATCGTAAATTGTACCTAAATACGTCAGTCATATATAGCCGATTACAAAATTAATTATCACCTTAAAGCCATTGTAAATTCATTCTTGAGATTGAGGTTTACAAAGAAATCCTTGAATTTATTGTTCCACGTTTCAGATAGTCAGTTTTAATAGGAAAGAGTGGAGAAGGAAGTAAAGTACCTATCTATGGAAGATAAGATGAAGATTAAACAATTTGGAAATGAAAAAAAGAAACATTTATTATTAAGGCATGAAATCGGCAGGCCGAAAATATTACAACTCATTTTAGAAGGATCTAAAAAATAGAACCTCTATCTGAAAATGGAAGTAGCTCAATTATCACTTATATTATAAGCAGTTTACAGGCATTTATCGAAGGTAACTTGTTAATGTTTCAATTTAAGTCAATGCCAATGTCGTTTGAGCAGATATTGGATTTGATTCCAGATTCCTTGTAGCGCATGATAATGCATTCTATCTTTCAGTCAAGTAAAGCAATTACCAGCGACTGCATGGTAGACACATCAAAACATGGCTCTTTGGAAGAGGAATAAATGAAAACTTTATAATAAAAAGAACTTGTTCTTGGAATTCCATTGTGAATTGAATCCAAATAAAGTTAATGTGGGCACAGATTAAACATTTTGTAGTCACTCGAAATTTCACAAACTTTTCCAAATAAAGTTTCAAAAAATATAGATCCAGAAAAATTGCAACAATGTGGTGATCTCGTGAAGGAACAAGAAATACAACGCATTGTTCGAGTGCAAGACTACTGATTCTTCATCAGAAGTTTGATTATGTTTTTCAGCATTTTCAAAGTTATGTATCATTAGTATTTCCATCAACCGGAAGCTTTCTAATTGCAAACAAATTAATCAGAGGACTTATCAATTAACCGCAAAAAAAGTATTTAATTGTATGAGTCATATAAGTTATCAAATTGCCTCAACTGCGTACCTACCTGTTGTAATTTGTAATAGGAACTTTCCTTGTGGAATTTTTTAAAAAGATGAGCAATACATTAATTTCATTTAGACCAATAAAAAATGATAATTAAGTACTTACATCTTTAATACTGAAATGTAAGACTTGTTTCATGTAAGTTGGGAGTTCGGTCATCAGCGTTTCGTAGCCATAGTTGTGGCCCATATGTGCAAGCAAAATAGCCCAGAACGGTAAAGATTTCAGGATGGACAACCATGGAATTTTGGGGGTCTGAAATAAGAAAAATAATTTCAAATATAATAATATGTAGCTCTATAGAGATAGAAGTCTCTAACTTTTATTCTAATCAATTATTTCCGTTTAATATTAACCTCAATAAGATCGGGCTCACTCTTATTGTAATAAGGTAGGTATAATAAAATAATAAAGCTTCGTTCGAGATTAGAGTGTTTAGGCAGTACAATTTCGTATAAATTTTTGTATTGTATCAAGCCATAATGATTACCTACAATAACTAAGGAAACATTTCAATTAGCATTATGTTTCTTTACTTGAAAAAACTAGATATTCCTTTTCTAAAATTTGCACTTAATGGGGCTCTCTACTCACAATAGGATCAATAATGCCATCTATCTATGTAAAACTAGGTGCATAAATCTAAAGTTCTCACCGATTGACCAACAACTCTCCCTAAGGTCTTTTGAATATACATGCGCTCTTCTGGATTAATTTTGGGATTGGCTTCTGGATCTTCGTAAACCCAAATCAAGAATGCTACACACCAAACGGTACCCACAGCGCCAAAAACGTAAAATATTGAAGGCCATCCTGCGTTGGATACTGATAGGAGACCGCTCAGAGGCATAGAGATGACTGTACCAAATTGTGCACCTATAAAATTATACATGTTTAAAATTATGTTAACATCGATTAACAACGCAATCACTTCTTCAGGTTTCAACAAGAAAGTCGATTTTCGATTTCTTGAAGGGTGGTTTTTTATTATTACTTCCAAAATGCTGGTTGAGATTTAACTCTAATAAGCGTAAATGATAAACTTTTGACAGTTTTTTAGGTTCAAGTCCGAGAAATACTTCATTACATTTGCTATTGTAATGAGCTACTTCCCGGACTCAGACTAGTCATGGAATCACGCAATTATTACTTGCCTGCATAAACAAATGCCCCCATACGACTTCTTTCATTTGGTGGTATCCATTTTGCCAAAAGAGCATGCGTACATGGAACTATTGGACCCTAAATTATTTTATTTTTTCCATTAAATTGAAAATTCTTATAAATCAAGTTCACCTCTCCTAATCCCTGAATAAATCTAACAGCCACCAGCCACCAGATACCGTGGTACGCCGCAATGGGTACCAAAAGTCCGAATAAAGAGTTGACAAGCATGCCGATTCCCAAAAAATAAATGTTGCCGTACTTTTTCGCCATAATTCCAAAAGGTATTTGGGTTAAGACGTAGCCGTAGAAAAATGACGAAAGAACGTATCCTTGGACGTCCGTTTGCCAGGCAAAGTCGCCGTCTGTTTCTTGAGAACTGGAAGTCTAAAAGAAACAATATACAGCTTCAATATAGCATAGTTTAATTTATATAATACAAAATTACTTACGCTATTTGAATATTCAACGCCACATTCCATATCAACCCCTTCAGATGCTGAATGATTGTCGGTTCCAATAGCTGTGTGATTGACCATAGCGACAATGGCCACTGACATGTTTGTTCTCATGATGTAGGCGTTGGCCATGCCAAGGAACAGCATAAAAGTTACGAAATGTCTCGTTCCAAACCATACTGTAATAAATAAATGAATACGGTGAGATTGAACAATACAATTCATCCCAGATCAGACCTGGATACTGGATAACATGCCAGGAGATTAACTGTGTTTTTTCAGGACTTACTTATATTAAGCATATAGTGACCTATTTTTATTTTATTTTTAAATTGGAAAGATTCTATGTCCTACTTAGATTCCCACGAGGACATGCAGCAGAGATTTCAGTAAGTACTGATTCTATCGAGGTGAGCATCACTCAAGGCACTCCCCAGGGCCCGTATTCTCGTCACCGGAGAACAGTGTTCTCTCAAGAGAACGATTGCTCTGTCTTAGTCACCCATATTATTATTTCCATAATACTGACAAAGACAGAGCAATCGCTCTCTTTTGAGAGCGCTGTTCCCTGGTGGCCGATCCTCGGGCCAGGGAGTAGGTCTTCCCGAGAGAACACATTTTTTGTCTTTATCATTCTTGTTCACTTTTCGATAACGTTGACAAGGACAAAACATTCGTTCTATCGGGGAGCTCTACTCCCTGGCCCGAGGATCCGGCCCCTGGTTAGGAGAATATGGGCCCTGGGCGGAGTATGCTCACTTCTGGATGTGGAGGTTAGTGGTGGATGAACTACTTCTAGGAATACTGAACAACCTGGGTTTGCACTGCGTTGAGTATACTGATGACATCGTCATTATACTCATTATAGCAAGAGGAAAGTTCGAGGGCACCCTGTGTGAACTCATACAGACTGGACTCAAGGCAACGCAGGAATGGTACCAATTAACAGTGGGACTGGGAGATAGACCTATCAAAAACCACCGTAGTGGCTTTCACTAGAAAAAGAGAACTCTCTAGAATGAAGGACATCTGAATACACGGAACTACTAGTACTATTACACCGGTTACGGAAGTCAGATATCTGGGCATAGCGCTGGAATGCAAACTCAGATGGAGGAAACACATCGAAGAAGTTGTAACCAAGGCTATAAGGACTCTCACGGTGGGGATTTAAACCAGGGATCTTAAGATGGATGTAGCACTATGATAGCGGGACGAACCCTACTGTATAGATCGATGGTCTGGTTCAGGGAAGTTGAGAAGCAAAACATAAAAGCAGCTCTCAACAAACTACAGCGCCTGACGTGAAAACTTGTCTCACAGCAAGCATCGAGACAATTGTAAGTCTCGCACCTCTACACGACGAGACGAGCAATAACTATAATCACTAGGGAGAGAGTTGGCAAGGGAGGTTGGCTTGAAAGCAGAGAATTGGCATCTCTAACCAAGCATATTCCGCTCCTTGAGCTCCTCAGGGATGATATGATCAAAACATAGATATAATTTTGGGAAACGCTTCACAGTAGGTATAGGTATGACATGAATGGAAAGGAAACACCACATCCATTCTTACAACGCTGCAGAATACCATAAAATAGTTGACTAATGGGTCAAGAACTGAACAAGAGAGCCGTAGTAATTGGGCCTGGAATCAAGTTCTCCGAAGCAATGGGAGAACACGCGGAAATAAACGCTATAAGTAGATGTGCTAAGTTCAGTCTTGACAGACACTACAAAAAGAGAGAGACTGTCATATTATCAGCCATTAAAGCGCTGAGCTCACCAATAATCAGTCCCAGAATGATTTGGGAATACCTGGACAAGTTAAACAAACTGGGCAAAAATAGCAAACTATCCCTCCAGTCGATACCGGGACAGCCAAGTATCGAGGTCCAGAGCTTTTCTGTGGTATAGACATGCACGCCTATAAAAAATCGTTCAGAAAGGAAGAACTAACCAAAGAGATCAGCCTCTAGGAACAACTTCCAGGGAAAGCATACAAAGATGCTTTTTAGGCCACCAGGGAAAATTACTGAGTAAAAACAATCGTCGTATTCTTACTGGATTCTTAGGCCACTGCCGGCTAAGAGAGCACCTTTAGAGAATTAAACTCGTAAACAAATGGCCTGCTTTGGATGCTGCACGTTGGACCGGAAGAAAATCCGTCCATAAAACCATCCAGCCTACTTGCTTCCATAAAAGCTTTAAAGCTGGATGAGGTAGGTACCTTAAGTGAGAATCCTATCAACTGAAGCACCCAGAAAGGGAGATACAATAGATCTATGCAGGTCGTAGTGTAAAAATACACTCAATTCAATCAAGCAGATTCTATGTTTTTAGGAGTCTTTCTCCGACTGATTCTTTCACAGATATTCCAGTGCTAAACGTTTACCTTAATAAACATCCTGATGAAGATCTGAAAAACGACTTATCAGGAATGACGTCAGTCTCCGGGAGATTCAGATGATCATCGCAGGTGCAGGTCACGATTCAATTTTCAAGAAGATGATAGGCAGATGCATGGAAAGGCTGTGATATCCTTGAGTAACATCATCATTTCGAGACTGAATCACTTCTCACTCATCAGATCAGACTTACAAGAGCCAGACGTCTTCTGAGCTAACATGTATATCAAAGCTACAAGATGAAACTGAAATGCTCGAATTTATTCTGAAGCAGCATTTAGCTTCAGAATTCACGTTACTGAGTTACCAACACTCAGAATAGTAGAGCACATTACCGATAGATTCAATAAAGGTCAATATTGGAAGAGACCTAGAATGATCCTTCTTAAGCAGTTTTAGAAGAGCTTATAATATTTAAGATAGTCATGCCTGCTTGTCGTAAGGGATACTTGATACTTTTGAGGATCATGGTCTGGACTTGTCCCGTGATCTATGAGGCCTTTGACAGTGTCACTTATGATTTTCTTCTCGACCAATAAAAAATCGTAATAGCCTCTGATTCAAACTGCTGTCTTCTGGGAAAGCGTTAAAATCATCCTGAGTTTTCGTCTGTTAGGACTTTTAACAAAAAACATGGCTATATAAAAGCTTTTCTATATCAAATTCTCTGCAATCTAGGTTAAATTCTTTTCTGGTCCAAAATATTGTTTCCATAGTGTTTAAGAGTTGCTTGAATGTAATCAATATTAATCATTTCCTTCATCATTTCTAATCTTGTTTGTGGGGTCGTGACAGGACAGCGAACATTTCCTATTTCTTTATCAATGTGTACTTATTATATTTTAATAAAATATAGGTAGTTATTTAAATGACGTTATACATATTAATCGTTTCCTTTTAAATTTTATTTTTATTCAATTACATAATATAGGTAGGTACCTTAATTATATGTTGGCATTCAATGCATGTATTTTAGTTACTTGAGTAAAATAATATTGAACGTCATCACATATTTCCTACCAGTTATTTATTACTTTTGTAATAATATTTTTTTCGTCCCCAGATACGATTTTAATCTTGTAAATCATGATATATTATTTGGGTGTCTTTCCAGAATATTAATCAAAAGCAATTCCTCGAAAACAAACCAACTAGATTGAGTGGAAGGTAAAAACCCCAAATAAGGTTAACATAGATTATTTAGGTATTGTAGTCACATCTAATTCTGACCTTAACTGTTCTGAATTTTTATTATCAAATTAAAAATTGATGTTTGTAAAGGCTGTAACTAGGATAGTGAACAAATAGTTAGGTAGTATGTAATTTCGTTTTGGTATATGTATAGGTACATTAATTTTTATAGAGAAACTATTTGATGTTGGTACAGACCTTAGACAGGGTTAGTTCTTGAAGCCAGTAGTAGGTAGGTAATTGCGACATCCAGTTGATCATTCCCAAAGAGAAAATTGAAAAATTAAACTATTAAAAAATCAATAGTTTTGTTCGAAGTTTATTATTGGAAATGTTCAATTTTGAGAATAAATTGTGTCAGCAGAGTGGCATATAGTTTCAAACAGGAAAAAGATAGCAAAAGCAAGTTAAGGAAAATCTAGACAAGAAATGAGATTGAAAATCAAACAAATGCAGAATGAAGAAGATCTTGGGTAATGATCGAATTTGAAGAGATAAGTGGAGTAGTTTCCTTTGTCGACTTCCAGGTGTGGACAAGAAAAACTCAGATCATTTGAAAGTAGTCGAATAAAGCAATTACCTTATCCTTCATTAGTTAAAATATTGTGCTTACTGAAACGAACTTTCAAATTCAATGAAATAAATAATAAATATTTTGAAATAAGGACTTTACTGAGCTAAGATCAGAAGATACAAATAAAGAATTCGGCGTCTTGATCAATTATTCTAGGGCCATTGCAAACTAAAGATTCTGAAGGTTTCGAAAGGTCTTGAGGATAAAGACTTTAAAGCTTTAGGGACCAATTCAAGATTCTAAGGCACTTGATCTAAAGCCTTGGAACTTGGAAGAATCCTAATACTTTGAACAACTTAGAGATCTTGTAGAGTCTTGAGGCTCATGACCAAAAACTCTGGGTCTCTGAAGACTAATTTTTTAAAAATATTTTGAAATATGGAATTTACTGAGCTAAAATCAGAAGATACAAAAGATGTCGGCGTCTTGATCAATTATTCTAAAACCATTGCAAACTGAAGATTCTGAAGGTTTCGAAATGTCTTGAGGATAAAGACTCTAAAGACCAAAGCTTTGGAGGCCAATGCAAGATTCTAAGGCACTTGATCTAAAGCCTTGAAACTTAGAAGAATCCTGATACTTTGAACAAGTTAGAGATTCTGAAGAGTCTTGGGGCTCATGACTGAAAACTCTGGGGATTTTGAAGTCTCTGAAGATTCATGTTTTTTAAAAATATTTTTGAATAAGGACTTTACTGAGCTAAGATCAGAAAAAACAAAAGATGTCGGCGTCTTGATCAATTATTCTAGGGCCATCGCAGACTAAAGATACTGAAGATCCTGAAGGTTTTGGTATGTCTTGAGGATGAAGACTCTAAAAACCATAGCTTTGGAGACCAATGGAACATTTTAAGGCACTTGATCTAAAGCCTTGGAACTTGGAAGAATCCTAATACTTTGAACAACTTAGAGATCTTGAGACTCATGTCTGAAAACTCTGGGGATTTTGAAGTCTCTAAAGACTCTTTTTTTTAAAAATATTTTGGAATAATGACTTAACTGAGCTAAGATCAGAAGATTCGAAAGATGTCGGTGTTTTGATCAATTATTCTAGGGCCATTGCAAACTAAATATTCTGAAGATCCTGAAGATTTCGGAATGTCTTGAGGATAAAGACTCGTGAAACCATAACTTTGGAGACCAATGCAAGATTCTAAGGGACTTGAAGGAAAGCCTTGGAACTTGGAAGAATCCTAATACTTTGAACAACTTGGAGATGTTGAAGAGTCTTGAAGCTCACGACTGAAAAATCTAGGGATTATGAAATATCTGGAGACTAATTTTTTTAAATATTTTGAAACAAGGAATTTACTGAGCTAAAATCAGAAGATACAAAAGATGTCGGCGTCTTGTTCAATTATTCTAGGGCCATTGCAGACTAAAGATTCTGAAGATCCTGAAGGTTTCGAAATGTCTTGCGGATACAGACTCTAAAGACCATAGCTTTGGAGACCAATGCAAGATTCTAAGGTACTTGATCTAATGCCTTGGAACTTGGAAAAATCCTAATACTTTGAACAATTTAGAAATCTTGTAGAGTCTTAAGGCTCACGACTGAAAACTCTGGGGACTATGAAGTATCTGAAGACTAATTTTTTTAAATATTTTCAAATAACGAATTTACTGAGCTAAGATTAGAAGATACAAAAGATGACGGCGTCTTGATCAATTATTCTAGGGCCATTGTAAACTAAAAATTCTGAAGAACCTGAAAGTTTCAAAATGTCTTGAGGATAAAAACTCTAAAGACCATAAGCTTTGGAGACCGATGCAAGATTTTAAGGCACTTGATCTAGAGTCTTCGAACTTGGAAGAATCCTAATACTTTGAACAACTTCGAGATCTTGAAGATTCTTGAGGCTCATGACTTAAGACTCTGGGGATTTTGAAGTCTCTGATAAAGACTAATTTTTTTAAATATCTTGAAATAAGGAATTTACTGAGCTGAGATCAGAAGATACAAAAGATGTCGGCGTCTTGATATATTATTCTAGGGCCAATGCAGACTAAAGATTCTGAGGATCCTGAAGGTTTCGATATGTCTTGAGGATACAGACTCTAAAGACCATAGCTTAAGAGACCAATGCAAAATTCTAAGGCACTTGATCTAAAGCCTTGGAACTTGGAAGAATCCTAATACTTTGAACAAACTAGAGATCTTGAAGAGTCTTGAGGCTCATGACTGAAAACTCTGGGGATTTTGAAGTCTCTGAAGACTAATTTTTTCAAATATTTTGAAATAAGGACTTTACTGAGCTAAGATCAGAAGATTCAAAGATGTCGGCGTCTTGAACAATTATCCTAGGGTCATTGCAAACTAAAGATTTTGAAGATCCTGAAGGTTTCGGAATGTCTTGAGGATAAAGACTCTAAAGACCATAGCTTTGCAGACCAACGCAAGATTCTAAGGCACTTGATCTAGAGTCTTGGAACTTGGAAAAATCCTAATACTTTGAACAAGATAGAGATTTTGAAGTCTTGAGGCTCATGACTGAAAACTCTGAGGATTTTGAAGTCTCTGAAGTCTCATTTTTTGAAAATATTTTGAAATATGGAATTTACTGAGCTAAGATCAGAAGATTCAAAGATGTCGGCGTCTTGATTAATTATTCTAGGGCCTTTGCAGACTAAAGATTCTGAGGATCCTGAAGGTTTCGAAATGTCTTGAGGATAGAGACTCTAAAGACCATAGCTTTGGAGACCAACGCAAGATTCTAAGGCACTTGATCTAGAGTCTTGGAACTTGGAAAAATCCTAATACTTTGAACAAGATAGAGATTTTGAAGTCTTGAGGCTCATGACTGGAAACTCTGAGGATTTTGAAGTCTCTGAAGTCTCATTTTTTGGAAATATTTTGAAATATGGAATTTACTGAGCTAAGATCACAAGATACAAAATATGTCGGCGTCTTGATAAATTATTCTAGGGCCATTGTAAACTAAAGATTCTGAAGATCCTGAAGGTTTCGAAATGTCTTGAGGATAAAGACTCTAAAGACCAGCTTTATGGAGACCAACGCAAGATTCTAAGGCACTTGATCTAGAGTCTTGGAACTTGGAAAAATCCTAATACTTTGAACAAGATAGAGATTTTGAAGTCTTGAGGCTCATGACTGAAAACTCTGAGGATTTTGAAGTCTCTGAAGTCTCATTTTTTGAAAATATTTTGAAATATGGAATTTACTGAGCTAAGATCACAAGATACAAAAGATGTCGGCGTCTTGATAAATTATTCTAGGGCCATTGTAAACTAAAGATTCTGAAGATCCTGAAGGTTTCGAAATGTCTTGAGGATAAAGACTCTAAAGACCATAGCTTTATGGAGACCAATGCAAGATTCCAAGGCACTTGATCTTAAGCCTTGAAACTTGGAAGAATCCTAATATTTTGAACAAGTTAGAGATCTTGAAGAGTCTTGAGGCGCATGACTGAAAACTCTGGAATTTTTGAAGTTTCTGAAGACTCATTTTTTTTAAAGATTTTGAAATAAAGACTTTACTGAGCTAAAATCAGAAGATATAAAATATGTCGGCGTCTTGATCAATTATTCTAGGGCCATTGCAAACCAAAGATTCTGAAGATCCTGAAGGTTTCGAAATGTCTTGAGGATAAAGACTCTGAAGAACATAGCTTTGGAGACCAATGCAAGATTCTAAGGCACTTGATCTAAAGCCTTGAAACTTGGAAAAACCTAATACTTTGAATAAATTGAAGATCTTGGAGAGAAATGAGGACTTTACTGAGTTAAGATCAAAAGATACAAAAGATGTTGGCGTCTTGATCGATTATTCTAGGGCCATTGCAGACTTAAGATTCTGAAGATCCTGAAAGTTTTGAAATGTCTTGAGGATAGTGATAGACTCTAAAGACCATAGCTTTGATGTTCAATGCAAGATTCTAATGCACTTGATCTAAAGCCTTGGAGCTTGGAAGAATCCTAATACTTTGAACTACTTGAAGATCTTGAAGAGCCTTGAGGCTCACGACTAAAAACTCTGGGGATTTTGAAATCTCTTAAATGCGGACTTTACTGAGCTAAGATCGAGATGATACAAAAGATGTCGGCGTCTTGATAAATTATGCTAGGGCTATTGCAAACTAAAGATTCTGGAGATCTTGAAGGTTTCGAAATGTCTTGAGGATAGACTCTAAAGACCATAGCTTTGGAGATTTTTTTTTAAATATTTTGAAATAAGGACTTTACTAAGATCAGAAGATTCAAAGATGTCGGCGTCTTGAACAATTATCCTAGGGCCATTGCAAACTAAAGATTTTGAAGATCCTGAAGGTTTCGAAATGTCTTGGGGATAAAGACTCTAAAGACCATAGCTTTGGAAACCAATGCAAGATTCTAAGGCTTGATTGATCTTGATCTAAAGCCTCAGATTATTATATTTTTTGAATTTCCATTGATAATATAATAAAAGTATTTCTAAAAAGGCTCTTCACAGTCTAATAATAAAATTTTATCGTAGCCACATAGGTAGGTAGGTATCTATCTTTATTATATTTATAGTAACACATCACGTAGCAAACTTTTATTTTTTTCTGATTTCAATAACTAATTATTGCGCCACGATTATAGATAATTTGGCCAATTTTAGATTTGGACACGGTCCATAACTTAAAAGTTCTCAACTCGTGATTTTTTTTCCGGTCATTACACATTTCGTTATTTATAAATATTTAAAGAAAGTAGCCATTTTGATAAAAATTTGGAAACATTGTAGCTATAGTAATTTTTGGTATCTTCTATGGTTTAAAATAAATGTTGCTAATACTAACATAATTGTGTCGCTATATAAAGTACCTCAATTTCAATCTAGTGCATTACTTAATTACATTTAAAATGAACAATCGTCGGATGTCGTTATTTTATTTTCCGATTACTATGCTAGTGGGTAAAGTAGAAAGCTAGTAATTTTTGGGCAAACAATTGCACATTTCGGATAAACAATTATATTATGTGATTGGAATTGAATTAAAGCATTAACCATCAAAGAGTAGGTATATTGAGGAAGTCCTGTAACTATAATATTTTGGTTGAAGGAAAAATATATGTTTCGGACAAAATGTCGTCAAAAAACTACCTTGATAATATTTTGAGTAGCTTTGAAAGTATTTTTTTGAAATTTTGTAGGAATTGAGCTCATTAGATATTTTCGCTGAAATAAATAAATCAGAAGTTTTGAAGAAAAGTTTAAAACTATCTATCTATCTACATTTGTATGAAAAATTGCATTAGCATGAATAGGTAAGTACTTACCCAATTAGCACGTTAGAGAAAAATACAATATTTTGGCAAAAATAATATGAATTGTTTAACGAGCTAAGTACCTATCAGTTATTGCCAAATTTCAAAAAAGTACTTTCGTAGGTTTTCGAAATATTGAAAACATGACTCATATTTTCTCAATAAAGCCCAGCAGGATCATGCTCCATAATTGTCCATGAACATTTTATTCCTGGAATTCCTAAACTCCTAAATTGCTTCAATGTGAAATATAATATATAGACCCAAATCAAACCCTCTTGGATGTTTAAAATTATAGAGAAAAAAACATATTTATTCACTTACCGGTTGCCATTTTTGGTTTTTCCGAATTCACAACTTCCCTTTCGAAAACAGCATGGGGAAAATAATAGTTAGACTTTTTATGCAAAAAACCCATCGTTTTTCGTTACGTTTTTAAAATATCTAAAATAATAATTGGTCCCAAATATAAAAGCAGAAATTCCAATAAAATTTTAAATCTTGAACCGTTTTTTACAAACCGCTTGTTTATAATTTTTACTGACAAAGTTTAATGTCGAATGCATGGTTTAACATTTGATTTTTAAGAAGGAATTTGTTTTATAATCGCTTCACGACGGAAAAAACTGATCGGCAGGATTAGATTTGACTCGCGAAAAAAAAAAAAAAAAAAAAAACTAGATTGGTACTACGAAACGGTCAAACAAAAGTGTGTATTAGGACTAAAATATAAATCGGCCGCTGCTTGTCCTATGCCCGTACCTCCAAATTAATAAACCGGCCGAGACAACCTGATGCCTAAATACCTATAAAGCGACCCATACACAATTGGACTTCAGTAGTTGAATTTCGAGGTCGAACTGCTCGTCAGGAATGAGACGATTCAAAAAATAACTATTAAACTGTAATTTTGAGGAAAAATATGAATTTTATCTAGTTTTGGGAGAACAATCGCAATAGTTTTGTTTCCAAAGTCTGAAGGAAATTATTCAATATTGGTCAAAGTCATGTTTTTAGCTTCGTGTTTGTGATACCGCCGACTTGAAAACGTTCTAAATCAACTTTAAAATGTGTGCAAACCTTGGTTGACTACGGAAAAACTGCAGTCGCATTTTAGTATAACAGCAACTGCAAAAGTTGTACAGTCACAGCAAGAAAATAGTATGAACAAAATCTGTTGAATAACACCTGAAAGTTTTTTCCTATAGATGTTACCTAACTCTAATCTTAGCTCTAAACACACTCACTTTAATATTGTTGACAAAGCAACTTTAGTCCCATTTGAATCTGACCAGGAGGTTGCAGACTGTTTTGCACAGCAATTCCAGAGCGTTTTAACTAAACTCAGCTCTACTGATATTAGATCAACACTTTCAGTTGAATCCTACTATACTCCAGAATAGAAATGGAAAAAAAAGTTGTTATGCCTATATTTAAGAAGGGTAACATAGAGCTAGTAAAAAACTACAGGCTAATCAGCCTGAAAAGCGCCTTATGTAAATGTATGGAAAAAATCATTGCTAATGAACTCTCAAACTTTTTCCTCGGAGGTCATATTGTAGCACCCCAACAACATGGTTTTCTCCCCAAAAAATCCACTTTTACTAAGCTCCTAAGCAGACTCAATATGTAGACAAAGGCGGATGATGAGAAGTTTTCCTTGACTTTGAAAAATCATTTTATAAGATACCAACAATATACTATACAAGCTATCTCATTTTGGAGTCAGGGGCGATTTACTACTTGAGGAATTCCTTACTGGACGTACCTTTTAGGTTAGGACAGGAATATCATTCTCAGTTGAATAAACTGTACGCAGTGGCATACCACAAGGCTCTCAGTATTGGGACGGGACCCTTGCTTTTCTTGGCGAATTTGTGTGACATACCAAAAACTGAAAACCAAATATGAATCGTTTGTAGATGACACAAGCCTATGCTGCAATCTACCACTCCAGGTAGACCATCAAAAACTAGACAATGTGTTGGAGATTGCCATTGAATGACCTCAACTCAAGTGCACAGTTCTACATATCGTCCGGAATAACCCTAAACATGATTACCTCCTCCACAAACGTCAATTGAAAAATGTTTGTGTCACAAAAACCTATAGGATTTGAAATGGAAACAACAGATCACTGAAATGACAAAAAAGCCAATTCACTAATCAACCTCATTCAAAAATCTGTCTAAAGAAATGGCTCTAAAGCTTTACAAAACCTATGCAAGACAAAAGCTAGAATACGCCCATTCCATCTGGAGCCCATATTACATCAAAGACATTGAACTGATTGAGAGAGTCTAGAGCCGTATTACAAGGATACCTAATGAACTCGAAGAGATATCCTACGAGAGCCGCCTTAACCAACTAAACCTACATTAAAAGACCTTATTGAAAGTTACAAAATACTGAATGGTCACTATGCATGTGACATTAACTGCTTCCTCGCCACTAACGCTACCAATACCAGAGGACATAACCAGAAACTTACAGGAAAGATGTAGGTAACAAGTTACTAAAAAGAAATTTCTTGATAAACGGAGTGCTTTATCAGTGGAATAGGCTTACTCATGAAACAATCAATTTAAAAACCGCTTGGATCCAGAAATGAGGGGCTGGCACAATAAGTTTGTGCATTATGGTTTTTAATTTGTGAACAAACTGTGAAAAACTAGAAGACTCAATGGTCTCATCGGTTACCCAACCGCCTATCACTGATATCCATAATAAGAATAATAATGATAATAATAATAATAATAATAAGTCCAATAAAAGGAAAATAGATAACGCACTCTTCAACTCAAATGAAAAGCTATTCTACACAAGAATGACCAACCCAGAGGAAATTAAAATAATACCACCAAGCAGAGAAAAAGTAACACAATATTGGGAAGGAATATGGTCAGAGCCTGCGCAACGCAATCACACACCAACATGGATTAAAGAAGAAGACAGACACAAAGACACCAATGAACAAGCAGAATTCGAAGTAACAATAGAAGAATTGGTAAACATAATAAACAGCACACATAACTGGAAATGCCCAGGAACAGACCAAATACAAAACTTTTGGTACAAAAGATTCACATCAACACACAAATACTCAAGGAAACAAATAAAAAAATTAATAGAGCTCTCACAAGTATTTCCACAATTCCTAACGCAAGGGAAAATATACATAAAACCGAAAAACCATGACACAGAGAACCCGGCTAATTATCGACCAATAACATGTTCGCCGACCTTCTATAAAATAATAACATCGGTGATATGCAAAAAAATAGAACAACACCTTCAAAAATATAATATAATCACAGAAGAACAAAAGGGTTGCAAAAAAACAGTCAAGGTTGGTAAGAAACGACTAATTATAGACTCCATAATAATGAAACAAACAGAAAAGCAGCAAAGAAATCTTATAGGATGTTACTTAGACTACAAAAAAGCGTTCGACTCTGTACCACATTCATGGTTAAACAAGGTGCTACAAATTTATAAAATACATCCAGTTATTAGAAACTTCTTATCAACCATCATGAACACCTGGAGAACAAACATATATTTAACAACAGGAACGCAACAACTAAAAACAGACAACATTAATATAAAAAAGGGAATCTTCCAAGGAGACTCTCTGAGTGCACTTTTGTTCTGTCTGTGCCTCAATCCACCCTCCAACACACTGAATAACACAAAATGCGGCTTCCAGATTAAACACCAAAGCAGAGTAAAACACAGAATCAACCAGCTGCTTTATATGGACGACATCAAAATATATGCACCAACACAGACACAAATGAAGGGATTACTGAGAATAACGGAAAAAGTTATAACAGACATAGGAATTCGGAATCAGCAAATGCAAAACATTACATATAGAAAGGGGTGAATGGAAGGACGAAGTCGACACTGAAACACTAAACAATGAAAAGCTTGATAACATGCAAATTGATGAAACATATAAATATCTGGGATATCAACAGAACACAAGAATAGATCACATGACAATAAAAAAACAACTAACTAAGGAGTTCAAGAATCGTTTAACTCTAATACTAAATACAAAATTAAACTCAAAGAATTTGTTCAAAACTATAAACACGTTTGTCATCCCGCTACTTACATATTCCTTCGGAATAATTAAATGGTCAAAAATAGACCTGGAAAACATAAACATCCTCACAAGATCTGATCTGACGAGGAATAGGAAACTACACCCAAACTCATGTAAAGAGAGAATCACAATAAGCAGGAAGGAAGGCGGGAGAGGGCTAGTAGACATTCACGTACTCCATGCAAAGCAAACTTCATTACACTCAGCAGTCGCGCAAGCAGATAAAGAATATACACCACTTAACCTCTCTCAGTCTGAAACACAATCACAACAAATACAAACACAACAATAGAGAATGGAGGAATGGTCACAAAAGAAGCTTCACGGAAAACACTTGTACATCATGAATAACTAACAGATTCAAAAACAACAATCATATAGATGGCTACAGAAAGAACAACTCTACCCAGAAACAGAAGGCTTTATACTCGCCATACAGGATCAGGTGATAGCGACCAGGAACTCAGAAATATATATTGAAAAGACAGAAATAAGCGACTTATGCAGAAAATGCCACCAGCACCACGAAACTATTGATCATGTAGTAGGAGGATGTAAAATACTGGCAGGCACGTCATACACAGATAGACACAACATTGCAGTTAAAGTAGGTAATACACCAAGCATTGGCCCATAAATAATATGGCCTAATTACCACAGAAACACCATATTACCACTACACGCCACACAGTATACTTGAGAACAAGAGTTTTAAACTCTACTACGACATAGATATATACGCACGGACAAAACTGTAAAGCATAACAGACCAGATCTCACTCTGATAGATAAGGTTAATCAAAACACATATCTAATAGACATAGCAATACCTACAGATAAGAACATCAGCAAAAAGTACGCAGAAAAAATTGAAAAATATACGCACTTGGCAATGGAAGTTGAAAGAATTTGGAAACAGAAAAAAGTCCACATCATACCATTTATAATGTCCGCAACAGGTATAACACCTAAAGCATTCACTCAACATATAAAACATCTGCAGCTAGATACAGTCATACATGAGTATAAATACAATGCAGAAAGCCATAATACTAAAAACGTGCAATATAACCCGAACTTTCCTCAAGTAGGTAGTAATTTCACTAGGTAGACTTGGTACCCACCCGTGTGCTTAGGGAGAAACCGGTTGAATCCGAGAAAACATTTGAATGATGATAATAGTAATAATAATAATAATATATTCACGTTATGTGTACATGAACGTTGCGAATTGTGACCAATTCAATCCCTATCAGAATCAGTCACATGAGCAAGCAAGGGTATTTTGGGTAAGCAATTGGTAGCCTACTATCGTCTCATTGAATAAAAAGTTCAATCAGTTTGCGCATTTATTCTGGACATACTTCGAATTTATATAGGTAGTTTAATGGTGTTGCCCAACAATTAGGTGTTATGAATGTTCATATTTATTAGATCTTTTTTTCATGCCTTAGGTGAATGGCGCGCTTTTTTTAAAGCCACTTTTATCAGTAAACTGCCGTACGTTGTAGAATTTTTAGTGCTGATAATGCATTTTAAAT